GCTGGAGTGCAGTGGCACAATCTCAGTTCACTGCAACCTCCGCCTGTTGGATTCAATGGATTCTCCTGCCTCAGCCTCCCGATTAGCTGGGATTACAGGCATGAGCCACCACCACACTCAGCTAATTTTCGTATTTTTAGTAGAGATGGCCAGGCTGGTCGCAAACTCCTGACCTCAGGTGATCCACCCACTTTGGCCTCCCAAAGTGCTGGGATTACAGGCATGAGCCAAAACCCTCAGCCTGGGCAGTTTCTTATAAAGTAAAGCATGCTTTTCATATGGCCTAGCAATTCTACTCCTAAGTATTTACCCAAGAGAAATGAAAACATGTTCACATAACAACCTTTTTTATCAACGTTTTACAGCAGTTATGTCAACATTTATTCATAACCACCAAAAACTGGAATAACCTAAATGTTCTTCATCTGGTGAATACATAAACTATGGCACATCCCATACAATGGAATACTACTCAGTAATAAAAAGTAAGAAGTGAAATAAGCCAGATCCAAAGGGCTCTATATGATTCACTCTATGGCTTATTTATACGACATACTAAAAAAGGCAAAACTCCAGGGGTGGAGAACAGATCCATAGCTGCTAGGAAGGGGTTGACTACAAAGGGATAGCATAAGTTTTAGACTGATGGAATCTTTCTGCATCTGGATTCTGGTGGTGCTTACATGACTCTATGCATTTGTCAAAACTCAAAGCATTGTATACCAAAACGCATGAACTTTTGAAATAAATATATATATTTAAACAGCATGTCTGTGCGTGGTTCTTTGCATTATGTGAAAACTGCAAAATTATCTCAGAAATAAAATATATAATCACTTTTTAATTTACAAAAAAATAATAAAAAGCCTAAGTGGTGGGCCCAAGGGGCAGAAAGGGAAGCTCTGAAAATATTTATAAGCAGAAAAAAAGAGCCTCAGTGGAGAGATAAGGTAGATATGCAAGAAAGGAGCAGTAATGAATTGAACAAGGCCGTGAAAGAAATGGAAGGGAATAGAATCGAGCACAAAAGTGGCCAAGTTCTAAGTATCTTTCAAATCATAAATTAAGCATCATTACCTCCACAAAGCCTTCCCAGGAGCCCCAAAGTGGAAATAACCTTTTCCTCTTCTGAAACTCAACATCGCTTTAAACATACTGTCTGATAAACTCTTCATAATTACTGTAAGATAGGATTATTCCAATTTAAATGTCTTATCTCCTGCTCCTTCCCCAAAAACTCGCTAGATTATAAATTATTTGAAAGCAAAGCTTCAGGGGCAATTTATATTTCTTTCCTCCAAAGTGCCTTGCATTATGCTTTTTAAATATAGTAAAACTGAAACCAAAACAAAACCCCAAAAACCACAATAAGTATGTTGAGTAAATAATGCAGAGGGTAGTAGATGGTTTACTGATCGATTCTTGCATGTGATGTCCCTTGTATTACAATCCAGTATAATGACTTTTGTTGTCAAACATATTCAGTTATGGATTCATCTGAGTCTTAAATTTGAAGCAAAAACTGTTTGAAAAATTGTCAAGGACATCATTTACTTACATAAATATATTTAAAAATTCACCTCAGGAAAGACCACCCATTCTAATTCCCTTGAAAAGTTACAGAAAAAGCAGATGGCTCTACAAGATTGGGGGTGGGGGGTGCATTAGGCTCATTTTAAGTAAGCCAAAAATTCTGGCCAGGCATGATGACCTCACGCCTGTAATCCCAATACTTTGGAAGGCCAAGGCACTAGGAGCACTTGAGGCCTTGAGGCTTGGTTCGAGACCAGCCTGGACAACACTGCAAGATCCTGTCTCTACAAAACCTTAAAAAATGAGCCAGGCATGGTGGTGCACACCTGTAGCCCCAGCTACTTGAAAGGTTGAGGTGGGAGGATCTCTTGAGCCCAGATAGTCGAGGCTACAATGAGCATGATTGGGCTACTGCCCTCCAGCCTGGGTGACAGTGAGAACCTGTCTCTAAAAAATAAATAAATAAGGCCGGGCGCGGTGGCTCAAACCTGTAATCCCAGCACTTTGGGAGGCCGAGGCGGGTGGATCACGAGGTCAAGAGATCGAGACCATCCTGGTCAACACGGTGAAACCCCGTCTCTACTAAAAAAACAAAACATT